GGGGGCCGTGCGCACCTACCTCGCACCTGGGCGGCAGCTGCGGCTGCGGGACACAGTCGGAGTGGTTGTGGCCGTCTCGGTCTGCCCGCGGGTCTCCGTCTAAGGTAGCAGCTCGCCGCAGCTGCCCGTCTGAAGGGATACGTGGCGTGAGCGGGCAGGCGAAGCATCCAGGGCCCCTAGTTCGTTCCCTTCGCTCGCGGCACTCACAGCCCGGGTCCCCACCGAACAGGAAGAATCCGAACAGCAGCAACAGCAGCAGCAGCAGCGCGGCGGCCCCCAGCGCTCGGGGGCGCCCTCGGGGCAGCATGGCCGCGGGCGGGGGCGCTTAGGGCGGTGTGCGACCCCAGGCTGCGGGCTCCATCACCGGCCCTGCGGGCCGAGAAGAGAGAAAGGAGAAGGCGCAGTCCTTGGCGCCCGGGCCGACGGCCGCCCGCTAGTCCCCGCAGCGCTGCGTCGCGGTCCTCACCTGCTCCAGCTGCTCCTGGGCCCCCGCCCTTGCGCCCTCAGCATTGAGCCGTGAGCCGGACCCGAGCAGCACGGGCCGGCCCCGCCCCCAACCTGAGCTCAGGTTTCACCTCCGCTTGGCTGAGCTCGAAGGGGCGGGGAGACCCCTGACAGTCTCTTTGCTCTCGCCCTCTTCCCCAGGCCTCCGACGGCCCCCAGCCTTCCAGGAGCCCCAAGGACCCCCTTTCTGGGCTGAGTTTCCCACCAAGGCACGTGGAAAGCTGTAGGGCGGGGAAACAGCCATCCAGGAAGAGCCAGTCCCCAACACCTGGCCTAAGCCCGTTCTCCTGCTTCGGGCTTTGGGGCCCTGTCTCCGCCCCCAGCTTCCCTGGGGGAGGGGCTAGTGACCCCAGGCCGGGAGCAAAGGGACTGCCAGGGCACAACCTGAGTGAGAGGGAGGGGATGGGAATGCTGGGCCTCGGGGGATAGGGACACCTGCTCTGAGGACGGAAGGCGGGGCCGGCGGAGACCTGCCCCGGAGCCATCGAGCCCCTGGAGCCCTCGACTTCCCCTCCACCCGCAGTCCAGGTGGCCTGGCCCTGCCCGGCGGCGGCTTTAACTCGGCTGGGACAAAGCGCCCTTGTGAAGGCCGCCTCCCGCCCAGGAGCTGGCAAGGGGCCTCAGGCTGGCGGCCTGAACTGCCTGGGCAGGGCCAGGATCCCCCACCCTGTCTAGACCGTCGTGGTTGTGCCAGCACCTCCTCTGCTTGAACCTCTTCCTCCTTCCTTCTAGGTGGAGAAGCCCCTAGCAGGCCTCAGACTGGCCTCTGGCTCTGGAGCGGGTGGTGGGCACTCTAGACTGTGCACAAAAGGAGTGTGCCAGTCCCTGTGCTAACCCTCTCTCAGTTCATCCTCACATCAATCCTATGATGAGGGCTTTATTCTTCCACAGAGAGCTGAAGTGACCAGGTTGTCAGACAAGAATGCCCTCTGCCATGCCCTCCCCCCACCACCCCAGCCTCTGGGCAGCAAAAGAAACTTTCTTGCTCTTCCTCTCAGTCTCCTGTCCCAGGACTTAACCCATGGTGTTCCTTCTGCATCCTGTGGGGCTGGCTGGCAGTCAAGGAAAGTTGGAGGCTGGTGGCGTCTGTTCATTTACTGCCTTTCTCCTTCCTAGCATTAAGCTGCTCACCGGACAGGGACCTTGTCTCTCTTGTCCAGGGCTGGGCACAGCCTTGCACATACCAAGTGCTCAGTACGTGTTGGAAGTGGATGGGTCTCATTCCTGTGAACTGGAAAGGGGCTCAAGCTGTGTCCTTTTGCCAAACCTCCAGCTACAAAAAGTAAGGTGAACCTAAAAGAGTTGTGGAAAGTCTCTGAGACCCCTACATCTCCACTCCTATGAGGCCAGGAGAGTCTTTCTTGGGAACATAAGGAAGGTCAGCTTTGGGGGCTTTGGAGGCCAGGGGTAATGGTTGCTATGGAGACTGATGGTGGCTCCTTATACATCTGGAGGAGAGGAGATGGGCAATGCCAGGCCACCCAGGCATCTTGAGCTTTGTGCCTCTGGCTTCCCTGATCCCCAGCTCTAGCCTATAGCTGGGGTAGGGGTGGGTAATTCCCTCCCCCAGTCCTTCAATAGAGACTAACTGTGGGGGAGCAGATAGAGTACACAGTCAATGGCCTGGCCCAGAATAAATCTTCAAAAAGGGGGCAGGGAGCTAGCAGGGAAGCTGGTCAGCAGATCTCACTGTGGTCACTCATAACATCAGCTTCTCTCCAACGTCACCACTCAGGCCTGCCTAGCCCCAGGGGGTTGTTTGGGGGCATTGAGGGGAGAGTGGAGATGGGTATGGGCATATAACAGGGTGCTGTTCCTCTAGGCCTGAGACTCAATGTGACCCTGCTTTGCCTAGGACTATGATATGTGTCCTTGGACTAGTCAGGCCTCCTCTATGGGCCTCTGATGTCCTCATACATATCCACTGGGCTGGTTTTTCTTCCCCTGTGCTGTGGGGCAGACTGAAGGAAGGAGGATCCAGCCCAACCTGCTCAGAGGCCCTTCTAGCCCAGCCAGGTGGCCCGGTACAGGCAGGGGCCCAGGGAACAGGGATTGCCCCCATCAGAGCCTCCTGCACACACTGCTACTCTTTGTCCCTGGGGCCTAATCAGGCCCAGGATCTAGAGAAGAAATTCAGGCAGCCCTGTTGCTGCTAACCTGGCTGAGCCCATGCTCCCCCATCCCAGTCCCAGAGAGAGAGAGGAAAAAGTGGCTCTAGCCCAGCCTCCTCATCTGTTCTGAGGAGGCTGCCCCTCTGTCCTCCATGCCTCTCTATCTCCACAGAATGACAGGACCACCAGCCCTGGGAGTGCTGAAGAAACCTCACATTCTCCTTCCTCACTCTCTCCACTGCAGCAGAAGGTAGACTAGGAGGAGTGGCCACCTATGTGATTTGGGGAATCACATAGGTGATTAAATGGTGGGGTAAAAGCCACATACAGCACTGTAATCCTAGCACTTTGGTAGGTTGAGGTGGGAGGATTGTTTGAAGCTAGGAATTCAAGACCAGTCTTGGCAACATAGTGAGACCCTGTCTCTGCAAAAAATTAGAAAAATAATGCCAAATGTGATAGCTCATACCTGTTATCCTAGCACTCTGGGAGGCTGAGGCAGGTGGACTGCTTGAACTCAGGAGTTGGAGATCAACCTGAACAAGAGTGAGACCCCCAATCTCTAAAAATAGCCAAGTGTGTAGCAGGAACCTATAGTCCACCTACTTCAGAGGCTGAGGCAAGAGGATCACTTGAGCCCAAGAGTTTGAGCTTGCTGTGAGCTATAACGCCGCAGTACTCTACTGAGGGCAACAAAGTGAGACTCCATCTCAAAAGAAAAAAAAAGATAGAAAAATAAAGTGAGCATAGTGGTGTGTCATAAGTAGTCCCAGCTACTTGGCAGGCTGAGGCAGGAGCATTGCTTGAGTCCAGGAGTTTTAGGTTGCAGTGAGCTGTGATGACATGATGCCACTGTGCTCTATCCTAGGCAACAGAGCAAAACCCTGTGTCAAACAACAACAACAATAAAAACCACCTATAATCCCAGCACACTGGCAGGCACATTGCCTGAGCTCACTAGTGAACACTAGCTTGAGCTAGAGCGAGATCCCACATCTAAAAATAGCCAGCATTGTGGTGGGTGCTTGTAGTTGCAAGACCCTGTTTCTAAAAATAGCCAGGTGTTGTTGCAGGAACCTGTAGTCCCACCTACTCCAGAGGCTGAGGCAATAAGATCACTTGAGCCCAGGAGTCTGAGGTTGCTGTGAGCTATGACTGTCACCGCACTCTACCAGGGGCAACAAAGTAAGACTCTGTCTCAAAAAAAAAAAAAAAAAAAAAAGAAAAGAAAAAGGCGGGGAAGATCCTTTTGTAGTTTATAAGCTTTTTTTTTTAAATTAAATCATAGCTGTGTACATTAATACTGTCATGGGGTACAGTGAGTTTATAAGCTTAATGGCTACATTTTCACTCTTGTGTAAGATGCGCCTCCCTCTAAACTTATTACTATTGATGGTGGGATGGAGGGAGTGCAAAAGGGAGAAAGAACCCTGCCTTGGATGCCCAGGTCCTAATCTCAGTTGCTAACTTGTCCCATGATGGGTAACAGGAAAAAAGAATCTGCCACGGAAGACCTGCACTATGGCTTGCTGTGCTACCTGGGACAAGTCCTTACCTGTCCTTGGACTTCTAATTTCCCATCTATGAACAGGAGTTCATGGTAACTTGGCAAGGTTGCTGGAAAGGGGGTAAGCCCAGCACCCAGAGGTGGCAAAAAGTGATGTTGCCCATGCCTGTGGTCATCTCCTCTGTTCTCCAAGCTCTCTACCCTTCTTGAGGCCCCTGAACACCTCTTCATTCCTTGACGTGAGTAGGGAGTGATAAAGAAGAACTTCTCACCTGATAAAGAAGAAAACTAAGCCCAGCCAGGGGTTGGGGGAGGCAGTGAATGGTGGTAGTGGTAGAGGGAAGGGAATGGAAGGCAGGGTTGTGGCTTCCTGGTGAGGTGGGATACTTAAAAACGCCTAGGCTGAGGTCAGACTAGAACAGGATTCGCATTTTGACTAGGAGTTCCTAAGTAGATCCTTTTCCCGTCTGGAGGTAATAGGTTGTGACACGGATTAGATAAAATAACCTATTGCTGTTATCAGGGTCCTCAAAGGCGCAGCCCCGCGGCCCCACCCACGCCACTCCCCCTTTCCTGCAGCCAATCCATGGCCGTCTCCCCGAAGCGCTGCTTTCCGCCTACCACCCCTGCCAAGCAGGCTGCTCATTTTTGTAAGAGATCTCCAGGAATCGCCCCATCCCTTGGGGAGCAGCTGAGAACTGGGAGGTGCAACTGAGGGCCAGAAAGCGCTCTGAGATTAATCCGGAATTCAAGGATCAAATCTGCCCTCACCCCATTTTATAGGTGGTGAAATCTGAGGCCTAGAGAAGGGAGAGAAGCCTGGGCCAGGGCTTTCTTTTTGTAGGTGGGAGTGCAGGTGCAAGCTCTTGGGGGCACAGTCCTTGCGGGAGCTAGGGCCAAAGTCGGAGGACTAAGTGCGCTGGGTAGGGGATCGACCCTGCGCTGGGAGGACTCCTCACTGCCTCAGTTTCCCTAGCAGTAGCTCTGGTGGGGAATGGAGCACTGGGCAAACGCGCGCCTGCTCAGACGCAATCCGTCTGCCTTTAGACGCCCCGCGCCTCCCCAAGTCTGATCGACTCTCCTTTTCCTAAAGGACGTGCTACCTCCCAGCCTTCTAAAATCCTGTCCTCGCGTTCGAGCCTCTCGGTGTTCTACTGGGAAGACTCAGGGCTCTTACTCCCTTCTCCAAAATGAACTGTTCGGACTGCCGCCCAGCTTTCCCAGAGCATTAACTGCGCAGGCGCAAGGTCTGCCAACCAGGAAAACGGAAGAATTGGGCGCGGACGCCGACGGCGTAGGGTGGGTCGGGGGCGGAGAGTGTGTTGGCCAATGACTTGAAGGAGTACGTGGGGCGGGTTTAGGCCCGCAGTTGCTAAGCTCTGCCCAAGTGGGAGGTGTTTAGAGATGGGGTGAAGGGTGATTCACAGGCTCTTCAAGTCACCATCCTTTTGGTCTGCGGAAATTAAACAACCAAGAGGCGGGCCTAGGACCGGAAGCAGGAAGGAGGGCGCAGGAAGCAGGGCGCCGCAGCTACTCCTACTGTCGGTCCGTGGGTCTATCGCTGCTGAGGGCAGGATGGAGAAGCTGCGGCTCCTGTGCCTCCGCTACCAGGAGTACGTGACTCGTCACCCGGCCGCCACGGCCCAACTGGAGACAGCAGTGCGGGGCCTCAGTTACCTGCTGGCAGGTGCTATCCTGACCTTTGATCCATCCCTTGGGGGCCCTGACCTATGACCCCAGTGGCTCTCTTCCCTGCGGAGTCAGCGTAGTGATCGCTGTGCTTGAGAAGTCCCGTCCAGGTTTCCGTAGGGAGTAGGGAGGAGACGTCAGGGATCCGAAGATGAAGGGTGAGGCAAACACTCACCGACGCCTCCTTCTGTACCTTCTCCCCAGGTCGATTCGCGGATTCGCACGAGCTGTCAGAGCTGGGTGAGACGTGCTCTGGGATGGTGGAATGGGTAGGGTGGTGGCTTTGGTCTGGGAAAGCTTCCCAGGAAGGGTGAACACCACAGCTCGAGGTACTAGGCTGTCCATTAGATTACCCTATGCTATGATTGAATCGGACAAAAGTCTGTTGTCCCCTGTCCTGATCTCTCCATGCCCCCAAGTCAAGAGACATGTCTGGGGTTATTGATTGAGTGTTCATTACTGGTCAGGTGCTGGGCCAAGCGCCTTTCCTGCCTTTGCCAGTTAATCCTCCCTACATTCAAATGAGGTGGGTACTGTTATTGTCCTCCATGTCCAATTAAGGGAACAGTTGCTGATAATCCCAGAACTAAGATTCAAATTCAGATCTCCCAGGTAGATTCCAGGAATTCCAAACAGTAACTGTCTCAGGAGCATTGGGTACTGGAGGTAACAGTCCTGAAAGGATGAGCTAGGTTTTGAAAGGTAGAGATTAATTAGATTTCCAGGGGCAGGCTACAGAGAGAGCAAAGGCCAGGAGGTGGGACCACACATCTGTGGCTGTTTGGAGTGCAGTGGGCAGTTATGGGCAACTGGATGGTCATTGCTATCCTAAAGAGCAGTAGCTAGTTTGTCATTGAGCTCGAGACATCCTTTCTTGGTCCAGCTACTCATGCAAGATCATATTGGGGAGTATAGAGTGCTGAGTGGGTGGGGATGCAGATTGATTTCCACATAGTCTGTGGGTATATGAGCACAGTAGGTGACAGGTGATCCCTGCAGTTCTGGGGGAAGGTGAGAGTGGTAGAGGCTGCAGAGCCAGCCCTTCAAGGCTACCTTCTACCCTTCAGTGTACTCCGCCTCTAACCTGCTTGTGCTGCTCAATGACGGGATCCTACGGAAGGAGTTTCGGAAAAAGTTGCCTGTGGTAAGAATTCTGCCAGGAACTGAGGGTGGGAAACACAGACACTCAGAAATGAAGTAGCAGCAACCAGCCCACATGTACACGGCATGTTATGGGTCTCAGAGTGTGAGATATATGCCTTTGCCCCGCTGAACCTCAAACCATCCATCTTATTATGTGAGGTGTGAAAATGTTAGTGTCCCCATCTCATTTGAAGAGACTGAGGGGTGGAGTGAGCTGTCCCAGGTCACTCGGCCTGTTAGTGGTAGACTCAGTATTTGAAATTTGAACTCAGGCCTATACACTTAGGCTTGGAAAGAGGAGAATCCATATCTCTTGTTAAAGGAGTCTTCCCTACTCCCCCATAAGGAGGTCCTGGGCCTACAGGGAGCCCCCTGACCTCTTGGCCTTGGGTTCTTGCAGTCGCTGTCCCAGCAGAAGCTGCTGACATGGCTGAGCGTGCTGGAGTGTGTGGAGGTGTTCATGGAGATGGGGGCCGCCAAAGTGTGGGGCGAGGTGGGCCGCTGGCTTGTCATTGCCCTCATCCAGCTGGCCAAGTAGGTTGGGACTATGGAGGGCAGGACCTGGGTGGGGGTGATGTAGGCCAACTGTACAGATGCTGCCCAGCATGGCTTCCCTGACTCTTGCCAGCTAGCTATCTCCCTGTAGTCCAGACTTACTCCCTGACCTAGGGCTGTACTGCGGATGTTCCTGTTGATCTGGTTTAAGGCTGGCCTCCAGACCTCACCCCCCATCGTTCCGCTGGACAGAGAGACCCAGACACAGCCCCCGGGTGAGCTGCTTCCCCACTTTGGAGTGGAATGGGGCACGGGACTAATTGGTGGCTTTAAACTCCACCAGTATAAACACAGTGTTGTCTGTTCATAGAGCACGTCTAGCCCAGTCAACTGATTTTTGTTCTCATCACCCTATATTCTGCAGAGAAGAGAAAAAAAAGATTGGGTTATGGATGAATTTGGCACTTGAACTCAGGACTTCTGATAGAGAGTCCTTCATTTTTGGGGTTTGCAGGGAGAGGGACAGAGCAGCAGCAGGATGTGGGGTCTTTCAAACTCGTCTCTGGACCTGCTTCTGCATTTAGAGCTGTAGCCTGAAGAGGCAGGGCACCTAGCACCTGTTGTCAGCCTCTAAGCCTCATTTTCCTGACCTTGGTGGAAATGGTTCTCATCATGGTGATGTTGAAAGCAAAGAATTGAGCAGATATGACCTCCCTGGTGCTCCAGTCCTGGGAAGCCTGGGGTTTTGGCTGGGTCTGGCCTCAGATACTGCTGATCTTTTCCCAGGGAAGTGAGGGCTGCAGAATGCTCAGGTCTCTTTTAGAGCCACAGCCACTGGCTACAGTTTCTTTGACTCAGCCGCAGACTTATACAGGCTCATCTGTTCTCCCCTTAGCCCTGAGCATCTACTGCACACATGTTCTTTGCAGGCTTTATTGGAAACATCTCCCTCTGACGGTAGGGCCTTCTGTCTATCCCTGCTAGATGGTAACCACAGCCCTGGCAGCCAGGAGCAGTCATATGTGGGGAAGCGGTCAAACCGAGTGGTGCGAACCCTCCAGAATAGTAAGTGAAGGACATAGCTGGACTGGGCACAAAGGTGCTGGGGTCTGCCTGGGCCTGAGGGACTGGTTTTCACCAGTGTCTACCTTCCCTCTGCCCCGGCCTGGGCCTGGCTTGCTCATCAGCTGCGCTTTGTGTTCTAGCTCCATCCCTGCCCTCCAGGCACTGGGGAGCTCCCCAGCAGCGGGAGGGCCGGCAGCAGCTGCAGCAGCGCCATGAGGAGCTGAGCCTCAAGCCTACCCCACTTGGGCTGCAGGAGACCATCGCAGAGTCCTTGTATATTGCACGGCCACTGCTGCACTGTATCCTTAGCATGGGCTAGGGCTGGGGCTAGCACCGGTACCTTGAGCTGGGGATCAACGGGGGGATGTGGGCCAAGTTTGGCCCCTATGCTAGAGACATCCTTGACACCTTGGCCGTCAGTGCTCAGCCTGGGCCTGTGGGGTCAGCGGTCATGGAAACCGTGGCTCCTGTCTGGTGTTGTAGACGTGACCAGGTAAGCTGGGGCCTGCCTGCGGGCTCCTCTCTGCCCTGCGCTTGCCATGACAGGCCTGGCCTTGCCTAAGTGGGGCAGGCAGTGGCATCTGCTTCTCCCAGTGCTGCCTCTATAGACACCCAGCCCAGATCACACCCCTGGCTCTGACCATGTCCCTTGCCCCCCAGCCTGAGCCTCCTGAGTGACAGGAAGGGCCTGACCCAGAGGGAGCGGCTGGAGCTGCGGCGCCGGACTATCCTGCTGCTCTACTATCTACTGCGCTCTCCATTCTACGACCGTTTCTCTGAGTAAGGACGCAGCCCCTACTTATAGCCACAGAGAGGGCAGAGAACGGGCCCTGGGGCTCCAACCACTGCTGGTGTCTTCCTTTCTCCCCTGTTCTCCTGTCTGGGGATCACTGAACACCCACTGTGTCTGGATGGCAGTCACTAGATGCCAGCCTAGCCCTGCCCATGAGCTTCTCAGGCCATCGACCCATATGTGCTTAAGTGTCAACTCACCAAGGATGTTGGCAGGAGACATCAAGGGCAGGGCTGAGGACATTGCCAGGAGGCTCACAAGGACAGAGGCAGGTACGGGCTCTCCACAGCCTCTAGCTCATTCCCACACCTTCTTGCCAAATAGTTGGGATTATCCCCACTTCTCAGAAGAGGCACTTGATGTTCAAAGAGGTTGGGCAACTTAAACACCCAGCGAGCCAGTGGCAGAGCTAAATCCCAAATCCATGTTTTCCCCTGCTCTGTCTCCCTGCTTTGCTTTGGCTCCCTCTTCCCAAAGCCTGCTCAGGGCCTGGACCTGTGATGGTCCACTTCTCCCAGCCTCAGCCATAGAAGGGCCTGCCGGGGATGGGTGGGGGTGGCCCAGGGCCAAATCCCCCAAGGCCTGCAAGGGTGACTGCGTGAGGTCAGACAGTGATGTGAACAGGGGGCTCATGAGCAGCAAGGGCTGTGAGGCAGACAAGGCTCCTGGGGCCCCCCTCTGTCTGGGACCTAATAGCTGCTTAAAAACTGCAATAGTAACTGGAATTTCATTTAACATCCAACCTTTGTTTCTTTTGAGAGAGTAGGAAGTAAGCTTATATCGCATTTAATATTACCTCAGTGAAAGTGACTTCTTAGTCTGGCAGTTCCTGCTGTTTTCATACAAGTTTGAAAGCTCATTTCAGTCTAAAGTCAAATCCTATTTCACATGCAAGAGAAAACATTCCAGAGACTTACACATACTGTATGGACACACCCAGTCTCCATTGCTTGCACTTACAGAGGAGGCATTGTAGTCCTTGTACCCAGCTGACCTGAGGATTATGAGGTGATGGGAATTGCAGAGGTGCCCCCAGGCTACAAGTCCCCCAGCTTGGCTCACTCTCCTGTGGACTTAACCCACCTGGTGTCTCAGAGCAGTAGCCCAAACTGAGAAATCTATCAGGGAGATGCCTGTTGCCCAAAGTACAGGGAGCAGGTCCACAGGGAATAGTGTTTTCTTGTTATCTCTCTCATTTCTCAACTGCACAGGTGGGTGTGTGGCCTCAGGAGCCAGGCTGCCTTCCACACGTGTGATGTTGGGCAGGGTATTTGACCTCTCTGTGCCTCTATCAAATGGGGATGATGAGAGGACCCACCTCAGAGGGCTGTTTAGAGGTTAAATGACTTAAGCCTATGGCAGTGCCTGGGATGAGTAAGGACTTGGCATTATATCTTATTCCCTTAATATCATCAGCAATCGTCATCTTAGCCCAAGTGCGCTTGTGGGAATCCCTCATCTGTTAAAAAAACTAGGCTCTACCCTGTCCCCTTCCTCTGAGTCAGCATGCTCTCCTCAGCACTATGTTGCCTCCCCGGTCCTGACTGCTCTCTGTTGGTCTGTGACATTTCCATGTGGCTCAGCTCTTCTGCTGGACTCAGGACTTCTCGAGGGCAGGGTGGGGTTGTCTTCCTGTCTGAACCCACCACCATGCCACCCAGAACTACTCCAGGTGTGGCCCTCCAGGAGCATTTGTTGTTGGATGTCAGTGGAAGGGGAAAAAGGGGAAGGAGAAGTGGGGGGAGGCTGGCTCTGAGGTGCTGGAGTAAATCGTGTACCCAGAGCTCAAGATCCTAGGGCTGGCAGGGAGGGCAGAGACCGGAGCTGACCCCAGAGGTCTCGCCCTTGGGACTGGGCTCTGTCTTAGTTCCAGAAAGTTGCATTTGTCTTCTGAGATTCCCTATGCTTAGTGGGGGAGGGGTTCAGAGAGGGTTCTCCAAGGCTCCTCATTTGCAGGGACCCCCACCCAGCCGGTTCCCTTTCTGTTGCCTCCCCCAGGGCCAGGATCCTCTTCCTGCTGCAGCTGCTGGCTGACCATGTCCCTGGCATTGGCCTGGTGGCGAGTAAGCATGGGTGGGGTGTGATGGTTGTAGTGTGGTCACATGCATGGCCCATCTCCCTATCCTCTCTCTGTCTCCTTGTGACTTGATTCTTGGTGCGGGGGGGAGAGGAAACCAGAAGTCAGGGTTGGGTAGGCTCAGCTCCAGGGCATGGGCCAGGCTGGGGTGGCTTGAAGGAGGGTGTCCCATAGCAGGGCTATGGTTAGACTATTCTGGGCCATTAGCCTTCTTCCTGTCTCAGTATCCTGGAGCGATCCGAGATTGTATTGTCTAGGGGAATTGTGTGGCAGGGAAGAAGCCCACTGGGCTGCTTTGAGACCCACCTCAGCAGAGCCGCTGGGCTTGGGTGGATGACGAGATCTGACTTGGCCCTACTGGTGCCTACTCTAGACCAGCTTCTCTGAGCCTGAGGGTCCTCATCAGTAATGGGGATCACACCCCTACAAAGTTGCCTGCCTAGGGTGGGGTGGGAGAAGCAGCTGGCTCACAGCGTGCAGGGGTAAGGCACTGTACTGGAGGAGCAGGGCAGAGTGGAGTCCCACCCATCCTGACTGTCCCCCTCTCTCATTGCAGGGCCACTCATGGATTACTTGCCCACCTGGCAGAAAATTTATTTCTACAGTTGGGGCTGACAGATATGCTGGGAGTTGGGCGTGGGGCAGGGCGGCATGCTGTGCTGTGCTGGGCAGGGGGTGCCTCAGCCTGTCAGTCCCCTGGGCCCCTCTTCCCTAATAAAACTGACTTTGGCAGTGTCCCAGCACGTGGCCTCTCTGTGACCACCGTCCAGAATGCCTGCTAATTATCCCCCACCTCCACCACAGGCTCCTCACACAGCCTGGGGATACACCCTGTTTAGTTGGTGGTCAGTGGCTTCTAGCTGCCTCATTTGCAGGGACCCCCCACCCCCAACTCATACCCTCTATTATCCTATTGAGTGTGACCCCTCCTATGATGGAGCCATGGTAGCTCACACCTTGTCACTGGGCTCAGAAGGTCCCCTGGGATCCAGGCTCCTCTGGCCACAGGAAGCTGCAACTTAACTCTTGGAGCGTGGGGGGCTGCTGGCAGCCATGGAGCAAACTTTGCTGCTCACTCACCGGCCCCAGCAAAGATAGCTCCCCAGCATGTCTTTTGTCCCTCCCTTGCAGGGCCCTGGGGCTTCTGCAGCCCCAGGCCATTGCTCTGCCTGCCTCTTGGTGATGAAGCCTGGTAAAAGGTGAGCCCAGCTCTGGCTCAGCCCTGAATCCTTGGTGGAGAGTAAAAGACTTCTCCCTCAGGAAAAGGGTGTCAGGCAGTAACCAACACTGGGGCCAGAGCTGGGGGGAGAACGGGAGCCAGATGCAAGTTCAGAGAACACAGGCTGCGGGAAGGGTCGGGCGGGAGTTGTGACCAGACAGGTGGCCCCGTAGGCTCCCACAGATCTCTGTCTACACCTAGGTCCTCCATTCCACACCACCTCCCAGGCACCCTGTGTGGAGCCACCTCACCCTGATGCTGCTTTCCCCAAGTGCCTCTGAGGAATGCCACCCAAGTCCTGACCCATGGGGCAGGGGAAGGGGCTGACATGTCCATCAGGGTCAGAGCTCTGGCTTCAGTGACCTTTAGCTTAATATGAAAAGTGTTTCCAGGCACTTACTCTGGAGCGGGCTCTGTGCCATGTGCTGTGTGGTCAGAAAGGAGTGAGGCACTTCTGCACTGGGGGTGTGACAAGGAGTGTGTACAGGATGTCTGGCTTGGGAGAGGCCCTGCCTGGAATGGTGATAGGGGTGAGGAGACTCACCAGGCTTTATTCACACAGGCTTTGAAGCAAACTGTTAGAACATGTGTCGATGGTTGATGGGCAGCCTGGGAGAGGAGCTGTGTATAGGAATGGCCTGGGCAGTGTCACAGCAGTGTCATGGTGGTGCACAGAGATGGTGCAAGGGCAGGAACAGATTTGGGGAGACTGGAAAGCAAGGTCAGGGCCCAAACAGTGTCCCTACCCAAGCAGGAAACTTCGGCCTGGTCTATGAAGGCAGGGATGAGATGGACTGGAGCAGAGATTGGAAGATGGGGCCTTTGAAGATTCTCTTTGAAGCAGAGATCGGAAGACAGGAGCCTTTGTGGAATGGACTGGTGGGCAGAGATTGGAAGATGGGGCCATAGACTGGAGGCAGAGACCTGCCATAGGGTCAGGGCAGAGGGATGAGGAGTAACCCAGTATGCTTTTGGGACTTTTGAAGTAGGAAGAGGGTGGCGCCCAAGGGACAAGGAGCAACAAGAAAGCAAAAGGCTTATGGAGTTAGGCAGAGGTGACAGAATTCCTAGGACCCAGCATGCTGAGGCAAGTTTGTGGGAGACAAGTTGTCCCCAAGACATATAAAGGGAGGTGATCAAGTTAGTGTGTGGACAGAGGGCAGGGAGTGGACCTGGCTGAAGGAACCATTAGAATTTGTTAGCCTTGGGGATACAGGAAGTTCTGAGTCACAAACATCCGACTAACATACAATGCACACTTACAAATAGAGACTTACAGATAATAGGTAAATGTATCTGTTCCAACTTATATACAAATTAAACTTAAGAACAAACCTAATGAACCTATCTCATCTGGTAACCCAGGGAGTACCTATACTGTGGACCAGGAGTATGAATGAGGCCACTTGAGGACCCAGAATTTTTTTTTTTTTTTTTAGACAGAGCCTTGAGCTGCCACCCTGAGTAGAGTCCCATGGCATCACATCTCACAGCAACCTGCAGCTCCTGGGCTCAAGCGATTGTCTGCCTCCACCTCCCAAGTAACTGGGACCATAGGTGCCTGCCACAACACCTGGCTATTTTTTGGTTGCAGCCATCATTGTTGTTTGGAGGGCCTGGGCTAGATTTAAACCTGCCAGCTCAGGTGTGTGTGGCTGGCACCTTAGCCGCTTGAGACACAGGTGCCGAGCCAGGACCCAGGATTGTTAACAGCACTTAAGAGGAGAATGGCTGGACCAACCAGCTGTCTCTGAATCAACTGGATTACCAGAGCCACAGATCCCTGGGCTTGGCCTCAGATTCTGACTCCACAGATCTGGAGTGGGGCCAGGGATTTTGTTTTCACAGCTTGTCATGGTTCTGAAGTGAGGAACCACACCTGTGTTCACAAGAGGCCTGGGCCTGGCTGCCTAGTCAGAACCAGGAACCAAAGGGCCTGCCAGTGGTAGCCATAGCTTTGCCTCCAAGGGACAGCCTTCAGAATACCATCCTGTGGTATCTGCTCAGTAAGCAGCACCCAGTGCTGGGGACCACGCAGTGAACAGAACTATCCTTGCTCTCCTGAAGCTCATCCTGTAGGGATAGGTCCAGAGTTCTGCCTCCTAATATAGAAACCCTCTGCCAGCCTCAGTGCTGGCTGGCAACAGGGCACGTGCAGCCCCTGGGCCAGGCTGTTCTAGGCTGTGGGGAGCCCAGGTGGGAAAGGCTCTCAGAGCAGGATACAAGGATTCATGAGGCTCCTTTCCCAGTGGACCCTGAGCCAGTCAGGCCTAAGTGGTTTTTCAACTGGCAGGACATTTCCAGGACTGCTGAGAGGCCAGTGAGAGGGGCGGGAGGTGGGGGGACAGGAAGGCGGGGGCAGGCTGACTGGGAATGATGGGGCTCTGGGAGGTGAGGAGTCAGTGACCTCTGTGGGGGCTTGCTGTGTGCCAGGCCTGCACGCCTTATGTGCATCACCTCACAGATGAAACTGAGGCACATAGAGATAACGTAATGTGTCTAACTTGCAAAAGGCAAGGTTGGGACTTAAACTGAGATCTGACTCTCAAAGCTGCCCTTGACCCTTGGGCAGTGATACTAGAATAAGATCTGGTTTGGCACTTCTTGGCCTACAGCACCAGTAAAATAAAAACCAGACCTCAGTGTAGGTTTCTGGTCTTGCCCTAGAGCCGGTACTGTTGCTGAGCCTTGGAACTAATGCCCTTTGTGAGGTGGCCCTGGGAGCTGGCAGCAGGTTCCATCCTGCCAGGGGAGGGGCAGGCAGGAGTGGGGCCAGGACTGTGCAGGAGATGGTTCTCGCCATGCTGGGGGCTCTATACCCCAGGGCTGGGCTCAGCCTCTTCCTCCTCTACCTCATCCTGGCAGCTACACTCCTTCGCCCCCAGCCCCTGAGGTAATTCCCAGGGTGCAGAGGGCTCAGGGAGACTTGCTGAATCCCTCCACCTGGGCTGTTCCTCTGCTCATAAGGAGGTGGCAGTGGCCTTTGGGGGCAGTGCTGAGCACCCCCAATGTCGCCCACAGGTCTCAGCGATCTGTTCCTGAGGAATTTTCAGCCCCCCTGGAACTCTCACAGCCGCTTGCTGGACTGGTGGATGGTAGGACCTCACCCCTACCTGCCCCTCACCCTCTCACCTAGGTGCAGCCTCTTACCACCCCAAACAGCATCTGTCCCAGGGCGGCTTCAGTTCAAAACCAGCTTCTCCCACTCACAGCCTCTTTTCTCTCTTAGACTATGGGGTCCGGCCCAAGCACCCATGGCCACGAGGGCCTCGAGGGCCTCGGCCCCTCCTCTCCCAGGCCCAGCAGCGCAAGCGGGACGGGCCAGACATGGCTGAGTATTACTATGACGCACACCTGTGACGGCGACCCTTCATAAAGCTGTTCTGTGCAGCAAGGGCCTGGCTTTCCTGGGGCACAAGTGAGATGGGCGTGGGCGGGGGTCCGTGTAGATACACCCACTGTGGTCCAGACAGGAAATGGCACTTTTAATAGTTGGGGCCAGGGTGACAGGACCAAGATAGGGCTGGCTGGGCCAGTCAGGAAGCCACTTTTTCCTGGTGGGGTGGGGCCCTGCTTTGGCTCTTCTTCCCGCTTAGGTCCTAAGCTTGCCACGGGCCAGCATGCCGGTGAGGTTGGTGGAAGCCACCCAGAGGCCCCACAAATGACAGAGCTGAGAACAGGGATGTCACCTCCAGCTGGTGCCATTTCCTTACTGGAAAGTCCTCAGGAGGCAGCTGGGCTCAGCCTGAGCTCAGGGCTCTTCAGTGAGGGTTGGGGGCCGGGGGAGGCTGGGCACTTGCAGGTGGTGTGGGCTTCTTCATGGCAGATGCCAAGAGCCAGACGGCCAGACCTCTGGCAGGGGACAGTAGGCCAGGGACAAGGCAGAGCCCTCTGCTTCCAGACGGACTTCTCAGTTGAGGCCTGACACCTGACCACTCTGCCCTTCCCAACCCCAGGAAAGCCTGCTCTGTCCTCCACAGATGAATCTAACCCATATATTACAATAAACTTCATCTGCCTCTCCCCATAACCCTGCCCTCCCCCAGGCCAACAGCCCCCACTTCCCCGTCCTCTGGTGGTGGTGGGTGCTGTGTTCTGTCAGCAGCCAGCTGTCCTGGTGCTGGCCTGAGGGCCTGGGGGATGCAGAGGCTGGCTGCGGTGCTACTCCAGGTAGATGTCCTCTGTGGGGCACGTATATTCCACAAACTGCTTGTAGAACTGCTGAAACGCTCTCCTACAAGGCAGGGGACACACAGATGACCAGGTAGCCACTGGCAAGGGAGACACAGGATCTCAACCCAGGGTTTTCAAATTGGAGCCTTAGGGGCCCTAGGTGGGGCTCCAGTCCCTATAGAAGTACATTTCAGTGGGAGAATGGTTCCAGCATCTACCAAGCTCAGAAGCCACTCTGCAGGGCCACCCAGCCCTCCCTCCAGACCTATGCATTGGTGATTTGGGAATGAGTTTCCAGAGCTGTGGGGAGGAATGAGGGATGCCACTGAGCCTGAGGAAGACGCTCCAGGCCCTGGGGTGGGCCTGCTCCTTGGGCTGGGTGATTGGCAGGATACATACCCCACAGATTCTGCCAAGACTTTGGTGGAGTCTTCCGATACAAAGACATGGCAAGCAAACCGGTGGTCAGCGGGGTGCTTGGTGATGAACCCAAAGTACCTGTGGGAGGACGGGCCTGTGGTAGGATAGAGTCTCGGACCCCCTCATCTACAGCAGCTTTACACCGCCCCCTTCCTCCATCACCTGTCCCAGTCTACTCACTTGTTGTTCTTTGGATGGTATCCACAGAAAGAGATGTTTTTTAACTGGAAAAAGTGGCTACACTTATTCCCCTATAGGAGAGAGAAAAAAGGAGGGTAGTACGGAGGACAAATACTAAACACTTCTTTCTTTTTGAGACTAAACCTCACTCTGTCACTCAGGGAGAATGCTGTGGCATCATCGTAGCTCACAGCAACCTCATATTTCTGGGTTCAAGCAATCCTCAGCCTCTGGAATAGTTGGGACTATAGACATAGGCTACCATGCCCAGCTAGTTTTTCTGTTTTTAGTAGGGATAGGGTCTCACTCTTGCTCAGACTTGTCTCAAACTCTTGAGCTCAAGCAATCCATCCACCTTGGTCTCCCAGAGTGCTAGGATTCTGGATGTGACCCATCTCACACAGCTAAATACATCTTATTGGCACATGCTAGGGAATGTGGGATGGGGGAAGCTAGCACTGAGGAATGGGGGAAGTTACCTTGGCCTCTTGGGAGTCATCAGCCTTGACACCTATCTTCACACCCCGCACACTGATCTCCAGGATGCAGCTGGAGGGCGGGTTAAAGTGCACGGTGAGCCGGCGGGTGGTGGCGATCTATGGGTGAGGGATGGGAACATGTCAGGGGCTGCCTGATCATTCCTCTGCAAGCAGCTCCTGTCCCAGGACCCTCCCGGAGGCCTCTGCTGCCTCACAACATGTGTGTCCCTCTCCTGGACTGGGTTGGGGGCCCGTACCCATCTAGGAGGCTCAGGGAGCAAGATCTCAGTACCTTTTGCATAGCGGCACAGAGGACGTCATTGCCCTTGTGATAGGGAACCTGGACTGAGCCCAGGAACTTCACCCGGAACTGGTCCACCCAGTCGCTGTTTTTGGCCAGGGCTGGAAAGCAAATGTGGTATGAGAAGGGGCAAAGCCCGCAGGAGTGGGCTGGGCAACCAAGGGAAAGTGGGTGGTGAGGTACATGGGATGACTGAGCCAGCAGAAGGTGCCACAGTTCCCAGACATCCCAATTTGGCTGGGGCTCACTTTTCTGAATTGTGAAAAGAATCTGAAATCATCTCTACTCAGCCTCTTCCTTGGCTGGCTGAGATGTGGAGCAAGGGTTCACCTGGCAGCAAGTTGGGGCAGGCAGATGTGAGGCTGATAACAGCAGGGGTGAGAAGGAATGTTACCTGCCATGTGCTCAGGCTCCTTGGTGACCTCAATGGCATAGTAGGCAGGAAAGACACCCCGGGCACCGGTGCGCATGTTGTAGGCCTCGTACCAGTAGTCTTCAGCCTGTAGCTCCACCAGCAGAGGGTCATCCACTTCCAGCTCAAGTTCATCTTCGTGTCGAGGCACAAACCTGTCACCGAAAGCATGTGAGAAATTCTCCCCAGGGCTTCTCCAGCCAGGCCCACTCTAGGGTCCAACAAAAGCATCTTTTTTTTTGGAAACAGAGTCTCACTTTGTCACCTTTGGTAGAGTGCTGTGGCGTCATAGCTCACAGCAACCTCAAACTCTTGGGCTCAAGCGATTCTCTTGTCTCAGCCTCTCTCAGTAGCTGGGACTATAGGTGCCTGCCACAATGCCCAGCTGTTTTTAGAGATGAGGTCTGAGGTCTCACTCTGGCTCAGTCTGGGCTCGAACCTGTGAGCTCAGACAATCCACTGGCCTCGGCCTCCCAAGTGCTAGGATTACAGGCGTGAGCCACTACACCTGGCCTCACAGAAGCATCTTTAGCTCAATAAACATTTGAAAAGCATCCAGTGTATCTGTCACAACACTAACTCCTGGGGAGACCAAGGTCAATCAAACATGCATTTCCCATAGGTCGAGGAACAGAGGAGGCAGTGAGCAGAGTCCTTTTTTTTTTTTTTTTTTTTTGAGACAGAGCCTCAAGCTATCCCCCTGGGTAGAGTGCCGTGGCTTCACAGCTCACAGCAACCTCCAACTCCTGGGCTCAAGCAAGTCTCCTGCCTCCGCCTCCCAAGTAGCTGGGACCACAGGTGCCCACCACAATGCCCGGCTATTTTTTGGTTGCAGCTGTCATTGTTGTTTGGCGGGTCCGGGCTGGATTCGAACCTACCACCTTAGGTGTATGTGGCTGGCCCCTTAGCCACTTGAGCCACAGGCGCTGAGCCAGAGTCCTTGATAAAATTGAGAGGTCCCAAGTAGTGAGCACTTCTGTCCAGAGGGGTGGGGGTGGGGTGTGGGCAGGCATTCTGGTCATCCTCCCCTGGGCACCCTGCCTTCAGCTAGACTAGGTGCACAGTTCTGGGCTCCCTCACTACACCACAGCACTGTAACCATCCATTTTGTCACCATACTCTAAGTCCCTAGAGGGTGGACCATTCCTTTAGGGCTGACTAACCAATGCTGCTGATGCCAGTGGTTAGGTGTGAGCCATGAGGTGGTGGCAGAGGCCAGGAGAGGTGTGGCCCAAAGTGCTGCCTGGCCAGGCCCAGCCATCCCAGGGGCTCTCACCTGAATATGGCCCGGTGAGTCTGCTCCTGCTCTTCCCCGTTGATGACACAGGAGAACAGCCCAAAGGACTCTGCACCTGCAGTAAGGGGACGGGGCTGGAGGAGAGTGGCCCCAGCTCCAGTCGAGCTGTAGGGGGCAGGGGGTGAATGCTCAGTAGTAACTCAGTCAGAGGGGGCCCAAGGCCACCTGCCAGGAACACCCCTCATTCTGGCTCTCCCTGCATGGGAATCCCCCAGCCACTTTCCCATAGCCGACTCACTGGAGGAGCGGGAGCGGCCACTCATGAAGACGTTCAGGAACTTCTTAGAGAAGTGGACATCGGGCTCATCAGGTGTGGAGTCCTCGGAGAGGCAGGCAGGGGGCCGGGGCCGGGGGGCCTCCTCGTATTCCTCTCCGATGGCCGACTCGTAGGGTGAGGAAGCAGAGGCACAGTTGTCATAGACAGTGGCCGAGTCACTCTCATCACTGTAGTCTCCAAAGCATGGCCGCAGGCTCACTAGCTCCAGCTGCGCATGCTCATCCACCACCAGCGTGTACTTGACTGAGTCGTAGGACAGGGCGCTGGTATCTGAGCTCAGCGAGGCCCGTGGAGGTGGCGGTGGCTCCCCTAGGCTTCCCTGCCACCCTCCCCCTTGTGGCTCAACCCGCTCTGGGGATGACAGGCAGTCGAAGCCCTCATCCTCTTCACTGATGGAAGGGTGTGGCCGCCCAGCAGTGGCAGGGTAGGCCGCAGGATCTGGATCGGAGCTGACGGACATCCGGCTCTCAGTGGGTGGCAAGAAGGCAGAGGTGGGCTCTGCAGGGTCTGGGGGCCTCTGTACAGGGGTCAGGTAGATTTCCTCTGTGGCCTCTAGCCGCACATCTGCCTGGTAGTGAATTCGGTCTCGATGTGAGTTGCCCCGGCCACTAGGCTGGGCAGCAGGGGCGCCACTCGGAGGTGCCATCTGGGTGGCCGTGCTGCGGCGGCATGGGCTGTCAGTGGAAGTGCCTCGATCCTTGGTGGGGACAGGGCTGCTCTGGGGTGGCAACTCATCGCTCAGGCAGATGTGTTCATGAGGTGGTGTCTGCTCCCCTGGAGAGCAGGCAGGTCAGTGCTGAGGGCAGGTGCCCTAGAGTCCCAGGCTACCTGCCCCCCCAACTCTAAGCTTGTTGACAGAGAAGCCAAGACAAAACC